GCGCACGTGATCCATTGGCCTGATGACGGCCGGATGTAGTCGTCGCTGCCGGCAGACTTGTTCACATTCAAGTTTTCCAGAACCTTGAGAACACAACTAGCTGAGACTTCCACATCGCCCATTAGAGGGGTGTCTTAGCACTCTCGTGGGACCGCACGCCCGTCGTCTATTTTATAGATATTTTCGAAATACCCCTTGAGCGTCTCACATTTTTCATAATCTGAGACAGACAGCCCACCTCCGTGGTTCTCCAAAGTACCTACCGATTATCTCATTGCAGTCTTCAATTGCACACAAAATAAAAATAATTTCATACTACATCGGTCGTCGCGCAGGATAATCAGGAACGCGCTGCCCATTGCATCGAACGGGATGGGTAGTGATAAGTGGGCTACTGCTCAGATATCCGAACCCTTGTTGAACTCTTTGTCTTCCGTTCCCAACCCTCTCCCTTTACCCCTTCTACCGACCTGTAATAGTCCCTCAAGCAACTTGGATGTCACTCGCCAAAAGTCATTGCCTAATAGCACCGTAAGTGATTTACCACGGAAAGGATTGCAGATTCTCAAGCCTCGTCAATCACTGAATCTGGGGGCCTTCAACATGAGGACTTTGATGCAGCTAGGTCAACAAGCTTGTCTGGCTCGTACAATGGAATCCTTAGGACTCGATATTTGCTGCGTATCGGAAACTCGAATCGAGGATCCTACTACTATAAGCCACTTGAGCGCGCCAGATTTGTCCATGAGATACGTTCTTCGCGCATCAGGGGACGATGAAGCTCGTTCAGTAGGTCAGCGCGGGGTAGGTATTGTACGGAGTAATAGAGCGGAGTCCTCTCTTATCGATTGGATCCCCATCAACAGTCGTTTGTGCAGTGCGTCTCCAGGGTTCAATCAGCGTCCGGAAGGGAAGCAACACTAAAAGGTGTTTCTTTATCTTATCAGCATATGCATCGACCTTTTGCAGTTCTGATACCCAAAAGGACACTTTCTACGATGAACTCACCAATCTCATTCGGATGAGTCTAAGCTCCGACATATTTGTACTTGCAGGTGACTTCAACGCGCAAGTTGAAAAACTGAGCGCATCAGAAGCTTGCCTAGGCGGTAGTTGTGCTCCGCCCTGCCATCGAACAGATAACGGAGATCGACTTCTTCAGTTCTGCGCAGACCATCATCTGTTCCTATCAAGTACCAACTTCCGACATAGCTCTCGATGGACGGCAACGTGGCGCTCCATTTCAACTTGTACGCTAACTCAAATCGACCACCTCGCAATAAGTTACCGTTGGCGTGGCTCAGTGCAAAATCGCAGGTCTTAATGGACCACCTGCGTTGAGTCTGACCACACATTAGTTCTGATACAGTTCACTCTCTGACTGACTGGTCGACGGCAAAACCAGCAAGCTCGAATAGCTCATCAACAACTATCTGCTCCAGCCGTTCATGCACTCTATGAGTCAGAGCTAGTGCGTAAGCTAAGTGCGCTTCAGCGTGGTGATATAGACAAGCAGTGGTATCAGATTAGGCGAGCAATGCATTCCGCAGCGAATGTTGCTTGTGGGACTGAGCCTCATGCCTGTCGGAGGCATTGGATATCTCAGGAGTCAGTAGCCCTGATGGATCAAAATAGAGTGAGGCGGCAGCTCCAAATTCGGCTCACGTAGAGTCTCAAGAAGGACCGTGAGAACTAGTGGGCAACAATAGCTACTCAAATGGAAGTAGCAGCTGCATCAGGGAGTAGTCAAAGACTGTTCCGACTGATACGCAATA